AAAAAAAAAAAAAAAAAAAAATCTAACAATTTATTGGTCGAAATCAATAAAACAAAAAAACTTTCAACACTTGTCAACATCTAATCAGCTTTTGTTTTAATTATCTACCATGAAGCAAGTACAAACCATTCGCAATTTCTCGTTGAACGTATAAGGAAAAATAACAATATGTCTTTCATTTTGCTTAACTGATGAACGTGAACAGTTAACAAATCAAAAATTCCTCGTAAGCAAACAAAAAAAAAAATGATAATTACACTACTCTCTGTGTTTTAAAAACTGCTCAGCTTTAATAATCAGAAAATATCCTCTACAAATGTAAGCATATGTAACTGCTAACAACGATATCACTTTGGATAGCAAAAACTGCAATGCTGGATTTCAATATTTAACAGTAAAAACAACAACCATAATAATGACACCAATAATTATCAAATATGAAAGCGAAAAAAAATTTTTTTTCTCTTGTTCTCAAGCCCAACTGCACTCTTTGTTTTTTTTGTTTTGCTTGACAATAAAGATAACTTTAGGCTAATCATGTAGAAAATTGGTTATGAATTTCATTAAAATTTTAATAGCATTTCATCGAAAAAAAATCTGAAACAAGCAGAATTACAGCAGCGATACTCCTGTAGACACATCACAGTGAAAAAAATACTTTTGATGACAAACGTGTAATACAGACTTTATCTTGGCCGCTTAGCATCTTACAGGCAACACTGTCATTAATGACAGCCGCAAATAATGTTTTACCAGAAACTCCAAATGCATTTATTCGGAGACAAAACAGCAAGGAGTCAGGACAAAAAAGTTGGATTGAAAGGCAACAACTTCGTGGCAAAACAGGCAGTACGAGATGCCCGGCTACTAGTTCATTCATTCAGTCAATCAGTCAACCACTACGTGTACAGCAACCGACGCCAGTCTGGCCAACTGAACCGCAGCGGCAGCCGCCGCAACACAAATACGTCGACAACCATCACCCAGCCAATGCCTAAAACACTACTCGCTGTTCCGTCTATTTATACCAGTAGCCAGGCGTTTGAAGCGCGGTCGCTTCTCGACTATTCTAGATCTACTACGCTTTTCTGAATCGCCTTAGTACGGTGCATCAATTATTACGTCTTACAGACAGGTGCAGATCTTGTCTTTTCTCCTTCTTTTCCTTTCCCTTTTTTGCTCCTTCTCATTCATCTTCTTTTATCTCTGGACATTCCGCAATAGTATTTCAGTCACTGTACTCGCTGCAGAATGTGGTTACGCTTACTGTTCCTTTGGATTTGTTTTGTTCGGTATCAACTCTCTAAAATTTGGTATTTAATGCTGTTTGATATTTACATCACTTAATTAGCTGTCAAATAATGCCAGCATTGTTTATTACCTTCATTGCGAGAATCTGTACATTTTAACAGGACCGACGTATGTGTAAATACATTCAGTAGAAAAAACTTCTTTGAATCGACTCTTAAATGTACACCGTGTTTATTAGTGCTCATTTTCTTTTGTATTCTCCTCTTTAGTTCCGATGGAAAAATTGGATCATTTTGTTGATGCAGAAAAAAATGACGTATTCTTTACTAGATGTTGCTGAAACATGCTGATTGACAAGCTGTAAACTCGATAATTTGTTTAATGTTGAGCAAAATTTTAAAATCATTAGCTATCCAAGAAATTTCGTGAAACTTTCACCGAAATTAAACGAAGCAAAAAAGGACTAGAATTTTTTCTGACACATTGCTTGTAGACTTGTCTGCCCGTATGTTGTATTTATGATTGATAATATCATAGCACGGCGTAGTAATTATGACTGAGTTTCCCGTTGAGAGGAAGAGGGTTCATCTAACTTCGTTCGGGTTGTCCTCCTGTGTTTTATTCATTTGGTTGCATAAATTTAGCATAATTTTTAGTTTTTTGAACTTAGCAAACTTAGGCGTTTAGTAGCGACAATTATAATTATAATCCTTTAAGTACAAGTGTACTTTGTAAAGACTTTCACAGCAAGTTTTTCCCTGAGTCATTGTTATTTCCCTTTGATTCAATGATCTCCAGAGAAGCTGCAAGACGGGCAACATTTTTTTAGCCTAAATTAAAAATTATGAACATTTCCTTTTGGTTCATTCAGTCGATAAAACTCTCTCAAAACAATTATGTATATAAATTACAAATTTAGCCGTCAACGAGATGGTGTCGATTTCTTTTACAAACCTAAGATGACTTGTGTTGCTATTTTAGTTTTGTTGAAGGACACCAAAGACTGATATATATGGATTGAGACGTCCTTTTGCTGCTTAGGAATTACTGTTAATCTTGCAGGCAATTCCATTTTTTTTAATGGATTGCATCAATATTAGATACAGTTTGCTCAAACTTTTGTTTGATACTGAGTAAAAAAGTCTTACATATTCAGAAGAACGAGTTTACCGTACAGTCGTTTCCCCTAGCACGTATATTTTCTTGTTCTGGTCATCAACTGGCAGTTTTTTAGCTATCAAGGCATAAATTTATGGACCAAGAATTTCTCAATGAATCAACACCTACGTCACTTTAGTGTTTTGTCCATGTCAGCATAAGCTCTTACCTTTATAAAACGTATTCAGTATGTTCACTTGCTGGAAAATTCCTCGAGGAAATTTTCATGAGACGAAAATATTTGACAAATTACCATTTTATGATCACAAGGAGTTCCCAGTGCTGCGCCTAAGCTGCCACCTTAAGGGTATGTTTTTGGAATTATGGAAGGCCTTTAGGCTGCTTGAAGCATAAGCACAATCCGAATTATCAAATCGTCACGAAGCAGAAGTGATTGGGGTCCGAATAGATATCTTTCTGCTATGTTACACCTTCGTGCTGAGTTACAGTAAAGTATCCTTTGATGAATTTGCAGTTATTTTGTCGGCTTCCCGAGTTTTCATAGGGCAACTTATGCGTGAGAATCATCTGAGAAACACTCATTAACTTCATATACCTTCCATTAAAGTATATACTTGCAAACTTACTTTGCCCAATCAGAACTAGTGGTCGCAACTATGAAAGGATTCATGAAAGATAAGATTTTTTCCTTACTTGGAGACTTACAAGAGTGCAGTTCAAGCCACTCTTTCAAATCACAAATTTAAGGTAGGTCTTGTTTGACGGTGGGAAACAGCCTGTGATGCGTCGTCCGCACTTCTTTGATCAAAGGCAATTCTGCTTACTGTTGCAATGATCGCGTGAGGATTTATATGGTGACATTTTTTTGCGCTGATACAAACAATTTTCTGAATGTTCATCCAGTTTTTGATTTACAGGTAGTCGGAATGGTGATTTAGCGTTCTTGCAAACAGTTGCAATCTTCACATCGTTTTTTTTTTCTCATAACGGTTAACTGCGACAGTACTTTCAGACCAGTCTAACAATGTAGTACTGGAACAGAGATTTTTTATCGTTACAGGAGATTGGACCACTCATTTTCATCACTATGCACTTCTACTGGCTACTGTTTAAGATTTGCACCAGTAATCCCAGAAAATGCGCAAATTATATTAGTTTAAAAGATGACCAAAAAAAGCTCTTTCCAGTGCGCACCTCATTCTCGTACAAATTCATACTCACTTGACTCCATATCTGTAACCAAATCAAAACTTCTCAGCTACATGCATCAAGTAACGGATCCCTGCGTTTGTCCACATGAAGCCGCAAGGGAGACAGTTCTGCAACCGCACGACTGCAACCAGACTATGCTAAAATGTGCACAAAATCCTAACAATGGCCACTGACTTCACTCGACAGCAGGAAACCCTAAATTTTTGATTATGCGTTTACTACTTATGCCTCTTAACACCCAGTCCCAACTCAAAGGCGTATTTCTCTGGGGAAAAAACTAAAACTGAAGGGAAATAAAACAACCCAAGTTCCCCCAGAGGAAGGTTTTCTGCTTACATCTCGAACTGATTCAGTCACTTACCTCCATCTGTCAGATAAGGAAAGTCACGTAGTACATTCTTCAAATAATGTCATTCAGTAAAGTAACTTCATTCTGTAGACCCTGGAAGACATTTTAAATTTATTACGACGCTGCACTTCCCGATATTCCTCGACAGAAGTTTTACAGCAACCAGAAAGAATAAAACAAAGTCCTAACGCAACATTAGTTATAATTACAATTCAAGAAAACTTGACTCGACCCTTCAGAAAGCCTGCTACTTCTAACAGCAGTAAGTAATAAGAAATAAATATCAACCAGTGAACAACCAAAGACGCGTAGCTGTTTGAGGAACAGAAACAAATGACGATTGCACAGAAGCAGACGTCAAGGTTAACAACCAATACAAACCAGAAACGAAACACACTTCCAGAACAATTTTATGCAACTTTACTAAATCAGTGGCTTTTATTCAAACATATTATAAACATCAAGTCCTTTTGCAGAGCATGCCAAGACCGCACATCAACTCTTTGCTTCAGGCGCTAGTCAACAAGCTTAGCGTAAACTTTAGGCACATAGTCGTCATACTCTGCCTAAACAATGCTCCAATTAAGAACTTTGAAAAAAAAAATTCTTTACCTCAGAGCATAATCGACTGAACAAAATTGGCAATTATAATGTTAAAATTTAGCTCTCGCCATTGACCTCACACTGCACATCCCATGAGTATCCAAGTTCAGAGCCTTACCACAAATACTACAAACCCTGAATTAAATACTTATTAATGTACCTGATAGAAATTGCCGGCAACGGGATCACCAAGATTGTGCTTTTTTGCAAACGCTGCGGCTTTCCACCCTCCACGCTTTGCTGCTGAAGTACTCTTCAAATGCCCGTGCTCCTTGTCTTCAATCTTCCCGGGCTGCTTATATACCAAATATACATAACGATGAAGACCTAAAATATACACATACCCTCAGCAGATGTGACTGACATGAAGTAAAAACAACCCAACCTTGGACATAAAACAAGCATTATTAGAGAAACAAACCTGACTTTTCTGGAGGAGCTGAAGAAATGTAACCTGACAGAACATCACCTTTACTGATATCGTTGCCAGGAACATTCACGATAAGCCTAAAATCCAATAGTACTGAAAGACGGATGAAACTATTTTAGCATTACAGTTATGTCAAACCTATACAAAATGCCATACCAATGATGCCATTCCCGGAACTTTGGGTTGGTACGCGATGGCGCATCAGGATCTGAAAGTTGCAAATACAAATTGAAACACACCCAAACCCCCTTCAGCTTAAGCCTCAAAAACGATCCAGTAACTAATCAACTATTTCAAACAAAATGACCTTATGCAGATTAAAAAACTATAAACATACTTTCATGACGTTCCTTAAATTACTTAAAAACTTCCTAAAATCTAGCCTTGAAAGTTCACATCATTTTGTAACCTACACCAACACCTACCTGTTAAAATTAAAGTATACAGAGAATTTGGTTCAGCTTCCCATGTAACTTTAGGAGAGTTCTGTACTTGAGTGGGTGTGAGAACGTTACCACAGTTTGCCTGGAATTTCCACTTTCAATACAACCAAGAAGAAAACCAATAAAAAAAAAATAAAGATGGGCTTAAATGAATAAGTGGACTTGGCCATACTTACCTCAACACCACTGTCATAAACAGCTTTTACAAGCTTCGAAGGAGGATGTGGAACTACGTCAGGCACTACTCCATGTTTTTTGAATGCTTCAGCAACCGACATTGTCGAACAAAGCCTAAATATTTACAACTTATAACAGACACCATTGACGCTGAACAAAGTACCACCAAAAAGCCACTCCTTTCCAAAGAAAACATTTCCATATCGTTAATTTTCCTGTGAAAACGATAAATGATACTGGTTCTGTAGGTGTTCTTTATTACCTAAGGCAAAGTGCTCGAAAATAATGAAGTCTCGAAGAAAATTCTACAACAGAAAAACCAGACTTTTGAACAGACAAAATCAAATTTTGAAAATGAGATTTTTGCTACCTTTGTCCTAACGGTTGAAAATACTGTTCAAAACATCAATATCTAATGACTGGTTATGCTTAAAAAGGAATGTACAAAAGTTGAAGGAAAGATATGTACAATCTGCCAATGGTGGAGAAAATCTCGTATCTTCCCAGCTGTTAATCCATGTTTATAAAATTCAGTCTCAATAGTATAAAACAAAAAATATTTGCACGATAAGACTGACTCCTCACTTTTCCATTTTTAATTCCTCTGTCAGCAAATTAATGGTACGAATCAATACTGCAGTTTGATAAACCCTATAAGCGTACCTCTCCAGCCCCGCTCAGCTTATACTCTCTTTTAACAATCATTGGACTTTTAATCGAAAATGATTTTTTCTCCAAAGAAGGCCAACTAATATAAAAATTATATCCTAAATACACCTGTTGCGCTTATCAGATAGTGCTCAAACCCTCAAGTAACGTTCCACTCCTCAAGTAACAAAGTCGTTTAAAAGCAAAAAAAAAGAAAACTACTCCATAACCTCGTCTCTGACCAGCAAAACCTTACTAATAGTCCTTAAATACATCTGATATAAAAAACTACACTAATAATTACATTTACAGTAACAACGTTTTGACTAAGCATGGGATATAAATCAGTCGCTCCTAAGAAGTGATACCGTTTATGCCAAATCGCATGCCGCCTCATCTTTGACAAAGCATACGATAGCTACAGTGCGACCGCAGCAGGTCACCCAAGGCTTCCACCACTGTAATGTGGTTATTAGGCGTGGCTGATGCACAGAAATTGCCAAACAATGCTTGAGCGACCTTCACAGGAGATGTACAATTGTTAACAGCTAATAATGTGCAGAAGACGGTGAATGAAAAAATAAGAAGGCCTTGTCAGTTATATAGAATAGTTCTGCAAAAGTAAAAACTGCATTTCAACAGATGAAACAGATAACCTTTTTTGCGTTTACATTGGTGCTTGATTAAAGGACAGACTGTGCCCTTATTGCATTATTTCAAAAAGAATTTGGTTATCTACCCTCAGCCGACCAATCAGCTGCATTAAAGCAAACTAAAACTATTTTAAAAAAAATATTCATCATTTTTTAAGAGAACATGAGATGAAAAATACTGCAGCAATTAAGCACAAACGAAACCAAACTCTTTCCTCCAAAGCTAATAAACTGTGAAGGTAGGTGTGCGTAGAAAGTTAAGTTCCAGAACGAAAAAGTTAAAGTGGCGCTTTACTGTATGAAACAGTTTTAAACGCCTGAGTGTCTCTGAGATAGAGCAAAAATTAAGAAGTCTTCAAGTTAATAAAGACATTATGTCATTACGCTAGTATCTCCCGAATCCCCCGTTTATAGGGCAATTGATTTACAATCAAACACTGAAAGACACCATCAGCACAAGACACGCACCTGCTAAAAAAATCGCAATTTTTCAAATATTATGCTTAATATAGATATAAGTTCGGGTATTTTCTTACATAACCAAGGGTCTTGTTCTGAAAAGGTATGCTTTAAGAACGAATTGCTGAACTACGCCAGTCCAACTTTGAATCACCAATCGTTTTTTCACACTATGCATCAATTTTTGAGCTGCTCTGAGACTTGTATACGAGGCTGCTGCAGTTTTCGAAGTTTCCAAGGATCTAGAGTGTTGATTCCGGAACTAACTTATAATCATTAAAATTTTCCACTAGCCGTCTACTCGCCTATGCCACTCAAGAAACACCACTTTTTTCTCAAAAAGTACAAACTCATTTTTTTACTCCACTTTTAACGCATTTCCGAAAAATTCTCAATTCGTTTCAAGCCTCTGTTCCAAAAGCGGCTTTCTCTTGTTCAAGTACTCTAGGTAAAAGTCACCCAGCTGACTCAGTTAGGAAAAGTAGAGCATCCTTCTGACTTCATCTCTTTCTATACCTCATTATACTGCAAATATCACACAGATGTTCTGTGACTGAAGTTCTAAACAGTTTCAGCAGCATATTGTACTTCTAAACAAACGATTCAAACTGATGTCAATAAAGTAAAAAAGCTTCTATGCTGATGACTTTATAGAGACGTTCCAATTTCCTTAACTAGACTAGTGTCGTTAAGAAGCTCATTCCCAAACCATTCTGACAGGTAAAAGCGGCCGCGAAATAAGCATCCTGTATCAATAAAAACCTTTTTGCAACGCACAAAAATGAACCAGTGCAAGGAAATTATCTGGTCGAACTAGCATTTCCGAACGGCTCATTCCCGGAGCTCTTTAACGGCTACAGAGTGACTCAAGATGAAACACTTTAAACAGACGAAAAGTGCAGCGTGTGTAAGAAACTAGTTCGCATTAAAATCAATGCTTAACTCAAAACACATTAGATTCCTACAAGACATCTATTAGAAATTTCATTCTCAGAGCATGCTAAAGAGTACAAAAAGAAAACGAAGACCAAGCAAAAAAAAAACGATAGGTAACTTTAAAAACAAAAAAAAAAAAAAAACAAATGATTACTTTTGTAAAGACTAGTATAGCTCAACAGTTCATTCTTAAAACACTCTAAAAACTATGGGATCTTTCCAGAATATACTTCCGGGATGCATGAAAGCCTTCACGGAACTGTGTCCATATTAAGCTCTTGTTCTCAGAAAGCTGAAATCGATTCAGCAAACACCCACCCAGTGCTGGCAAAATCTTCAGCGATGGGTTAGAAACCATCTGTCCTATATATAACAGCACAGGTTTTGAGAAACTGCCAGCTACTACCAGTACTGCTCACATGGTGGTTATTTTCCCCACTCGACAGTTCTAGACAGATTGCCTCGTCTACGCTATATTGCTAAAATTACATGTTCAACTCTTCCGAGAATGCCGAGTAATACAGGCAAAGCCTTGGTGAAAGCAACAGTAAACGCTTTTCATCTACATTGGAAAAGGCCCACTAGTATGAACAAAAAATAAATCCCTGTTAAATTTACTATCTCACTACCACATTTCCTAACAAAAACTTCCACAAAGACCAATTAAAACTTTCAGATCATTCAAAAAAATTTTCAGAACCCTACGTTACAGCACAGTTTTAAAACTATACTTAATTAAGAAACACAGAAATTATCTGAACCATGTGCCTCGAAAATACCACAAAAGATGCCTTCCAGTCAAAAACACCAAAAATTAGGTTTCAAACACTGCTAATGACAGACTGGTTACACAATTGATAAGTGAAATTTCGATTATCAGCTTTACACTAGACCCAAAGTTTATAGCAGTATCTAAATTAACGGGTAAAATAAGACGCACCAGTAGATGTTATACTTACCCATCGCTTGCTACGCTTTCACAGACAAATAATGCAAAAACCAAAAGCAAAATTGAAATTCCCATTTCTGCGTCTAGGACCGCATTAATTTCGTTTCCCAATGACTGAAAAACTTTAGCAATACTTCAAACCAAAGATTTTTTCAGGATTTTACCTTTTTATTAATATAACAAGAAAAGCAAAACTTTAATAATACTAACCGACAACAACTTCCTCCAAAAAAACTCGGATTTTTGAAAAAAAACTTTTTTCGCAGAACTATCCAACAAGATTATATTAGTTCCTGAGAAAAATTTGCAACAAAACACTGAATTTTTTCACGTCAATGGCGATGTATATAATGCTTTAATATTACAGCGCAACTAGATTCTGACTAAAAACGTTTCTTTGCGAAAACTCAAACAACAGAAATCTTTGCACGTAAATTAATATATTTTCCGATCGCAGTATTTTCAAAACAATAAATCAACCAAAAATTGATGACCTCATCACTGCCAAATTTTGCACGTTACTGTCCCCTCACTCTACTGCCAAACGCTTCCTTTCACATAAGTCAAAAAAATTTTCTAAAAATATCATTAAACCAAAAATTGAAGAGATATGTTTTTCCACCGCCAATTAACTAATTGCTGAACAATTAAAAAAAGCACATTTCCATCGAAAATAAATAGCAAACTTTACTGGAATTCTCCTTCCACACAAACTTTTCAAAATAGTAAAATTTGATAAGACACTCTCACTCTAACACGGTTTATATTCTACTATAATAAAACATTCTGCACCAGCGCAAATAAAAAAGAAGAGCACATATTCTTCCTCAACAATATGTATGTCACTGCTGCCTTATGTATAAATGCATACGTACTTGCAGTTGGCGTAAGCAAAAGCACGTTGCACACTGCTACTGACGACCGAAATTCTCTTCGCAAAAATCGTGCCCAACCTTGCGTAGGGATAATATCTAACAGAACTGGCGATATTAAAGAGTAAAGCAATCTAACGTCTGTAACGGTTTGTAAAAGTTCAACTAATAAGATCAAACCAGACAGTAAAACTAAAACTACTTCATGCGATGGAGCTAAACCAAAAGCCAAAAAGAGAACTGACAAAAAAAACACAGCAGCATCTGCATACCTATCATGAGAGTATTGATGGTGTACGAATACGATTAAATATAACCAAAACCAGTGCACTAAAACACTGAATTCGTGGCAAAGAAAAAAAAAAAAACGAGCAGCTCGAACGTTCCTTTGCGTTCAAAAACCCTAATTGATAATTTTACTTTCATGACTTCAACACACAGTAAATTCTAAACAAAAAAGTCCCTCCATGAGAAATTACAACGCAATTTATTTAAGTTATCAAAATAAAAAAAAAATGCAACTGAATACTACAGTAAAAGATATCAGGCAGTAAGTTTGGTACTACACTTCACAAATGCTTCTT